TTCCAGGGGATATCCTGACCCAAGGATTGAACGCACATCTCCTGCATTGGCAGGCATTTCTTTACTGCTGAGCCACCTGGGAAGCCCCCTGGATTGTATGGTAGAATGATAACCTTGTCAGGTAGAATATTCTTGGTTATAAGTTTTTTCCTTTCTTCATTTTGAACATATTCTTTCTGGCCTGTAAAGTTTCTGCTACAAAGTCAGCTGACAGTCTTATGGAAATTTCCTTGCATGTAATTAGTTGCTTTTCTCTTGCTGCTTTTTAGGTTAATTTTTTTTTTTTGCCACTTCAGTTATAATGTGTCTTGCTGTGAACCTCTTGGGGTTCATCTTGTTTATTCCAACTGACTCTGTACTTCTTAGACCTGGATGTCTGTTTCTTTCCCAGGTTAGGAAAGTTTTTATCTTTTTTCTTCTTCAAATAAGTGCCGGGGTCCAGCCTCAACACGATCCAGGGGTACCCTCAGGATGAATGGCGTCGGCGAGAGAGAGAGTGAGAGAGAGAGAGAGAGAGAGAGAGACCAGACTGGGGGTGTGCAGCAGGGTCTAGCAATGCTTTATTTTTTACCGTAGCTTTTATATTTTAAGTTAGTACATTTTTAAGGGGAAGATAGTTCAACATTACATCAGCTTGTCCTTCACGAAACCAGGGTGTTTTCTGCATACTTCTTTGTTTTTGAGAGTCTTGTACATTATCTTCTGGCCATGGGGCCTATTGACATTTTATGACCTAGGTGAATGCAAAGCTGTTTTCCATAATCTATTCTTCAGTGTTCCATTTTGCCTTTAATAGAAAACAGAGAAGTTGCAGTCTCATGGCACAGCAGGTTGCAATATAGTAGAAATTCAATCCTGTTAACACAAAGGTCAGTCCTTTTGCAGAAGTTGTCAGTTAAATTTATCTAAAAGGTTTACCATACAAAGACTCTGCGGCTCTGGTGAGGCAGCCCCTGTTTAGCACTCCTGGTTAAAGTTAACAATTTTCTTATTGTTTCCACACTAGGGCTAAACTCTTATTTTTATAAATCTTTAACTATATTAACAATAGTTTCCCCTGCACAACCTCAGCACATTAAGAGCAAAAACACAGCAAGCATCAGAAAGACAGATATTATCTTAAGGTGAGTGCCGAGGCAGCTTTTCGAAATCCCTGAAGTCCTGATCTGCCTTGCTTGTCAGGTCTTCCCTTCATGACCTTGTCATAGGGGGGACCTCGTGTGCTGGTGCAGCAAATAAGTTCTCTCTTTTCTCCTGGTACCACTGTAATGCAAATGTTAGCATGTTTGATATTGCCTGAGGTCTCATTAAACTGTCATCAATTTTTATAAACTCTTTCTGTTCAGTTTTTGATTATTTCCACTGCTCTGCCTTCCAGATCTCTGATCTATTCCTTTGTATCATCTAATCTGTTGATTCCTTCTAGAGTATTTTTTGTTACTGTTTTCTTCAGCTCTATCTGGTTCTTCTTTATATTTTCTAACGCTTCGCTGAAAATCTCACTATGCTCATCAGTTCTTCTCCCCAGTCTGTATCTTTTAAGGTCATTACCTTGAACTCTGTATCAGGGAGATTGCGTATGTCCACTTCATTTCATTCTTTTTCTGAAGTTACGTCTCATTCCTTCACTTGGAACACATTCCTCTGTCTCGTTTTGCCCAATTCTGTGTTTATTTCTGTTGAATCAGTCAGCTCCTCTCCTAATCTTGGAGGTGAACCTGTGTTGCCGATGTCCTGTGGGCCCAGCACACTCCCTTCTGGCCACAGAGCTCTGTGCTCCAGGTTGTCCCTACGTGGGCTGTGTGCACCCTTCTCTTGTGGCGAGACTGACTACTGTAGGTGCGCTGGCAGGTGGGGCTGGCCCCTGGCCCATTTAGTTTTGAGGCTGTGCCTTGTTCAATGAGTTGTACCCGCTGAAAGGCAGGGTAGGCCTACCACGTGGTTGGATGTTTGACCCAGGTGGGCGCAGGGTTGCTGCTGGCCCACTGGTAGGTGGGGTCAGGCCCCTGGCACTAACAGGCTGTGAGAATTCCAAATGGTGGCTGCCAACACTTGTGTTATCATGACAGAGCAAGTTCTCCAAAGTGCCAGCATCTCCATGCCCAGGGGGAGTCCCAGCTGCCTCCTGCCTCCCTGGATCCAAGATCAGCAAGCAGGCATGACCCAGAGTCCTTTCAAATTGACATCTACACTGGGTTGTATATACCCTGTAAGAGAAAAGTCTGTTTCCTATAGCCCTCTGGCTCTTCTGAACATAAGCCCCACTGGTTTTCAAAGCCAGATGTTCTGGGGGCTTGTTTTCCTGGTGTGGGTGCCCCATGCTGGAAGGTCTGATGGGTGCATACTCCTCACTCCCTGGGGAGGATCTCTGTAATTGTGATGTTCCTCCCATTTCCTCACCAACCTCTGGGTGTGGGTCCTGACTCTACTGTATCTCTGTCCCTCCTACCTGACTCATGCCTCATGTTTTCACTTGTGGGAAATCTTTTCTGTTATTCTTCAGGTTGTTTTCATAGATACTTGCTTTGTAATAAGTTGTAATTCTGGCATGTCCATGGGAAGTACATTCAGGGTCTCTGTACTCTGCCATCTTGGTTACCTCCCAAAGTACAGGTTCTCAATTAAGGATTTATGGTACATGGAGGAACCTGAATTTCATTCTGAAATCATGAGCTAAATAAGTTCAATGAAGTATCACAGTTTTGGTTTTGCCTTATTAGAACAAGTCATAGCTTTGTTAAACTTAGATTCACCCAATTGCAGATTCCAGTAAAAGATTATACACTATATTGTCTGTTTCAAAAGTAATCTACTTGTTCAGGCTGTCTTCTACATTCTTGCAATGTCTACATTCCAAGTAATGACAAAATGCATGAAAGCACTGGTTATATTTATGTCTACTCATGAAAGACGGATTATACCCAGTGCAAAAAGAAATACTGATAAAAAGTGATTGGCCTGTCATACATATTTTGTACAAGGATAGGTGTGAAGAGGTGTGTTCACTGGAAGAGCCACCCTGCAATGTGCCAAACACAGCTCAACTGTTTGCCAATCCACCCAACACTTTGAGACAGTAAAACCCCCAAGTTCCTTTATTCACATATATTTTAAAACATAACACAGAACTACATTTTAATCTCATTAAGTATGTTTATACCTTTTATTATGAATTTTATCATTTTAATGTTAATAACATTAATTTTAATCAGGCAGCAACCTGTGAAGTAGCTCTGACTCCTCAAATACTAAACCGATTCTTTAAGAAAAATCACAGCATCTGGGGGAAAAAAAAAGCCTAACTGAAGAGCCTGACACCTAAGCAAAGTTAACTCAGAGGAACCTGCACTTTACTCTTATGAAGGAACCCAAATTACCCCAACTCCAGGTAAAAACTATGGACTGCAGAGACTAAGAAATAGTAGCAATTACTTCAGCACTGGGGTACAGCAGAAGAATTAACTAGTGCTGACAAATGTCATTAATATAAAGGCAAAAACAAGCAAAGAAAGGAAAGCAGGCATATAGATCAGAGAACTTTTCAAAAGTAAGCAGACTTCCTGGGATCCACCTCAGACTTGTCCTACTGGGATTGAGATTCAGACTGATAGGAACATTTTCCCCTAAAACTTCCAGGTGATTTTACACACACCCAGGGATGAGGATCATTGGCATAAACACAAAGAAGGTTAAAGAGGAAAGGGGTCGGGGGCAGCGGGGAGGAAGCAAAAAGACCTTCAGACAATAGGCACTAATCACGTCCATTTCTGTGTTTAAAACATCAGCTTTACCGTTTAGACTGTGTTCATTAATTTCATAGTACCCTCTACTGGTCAGGAAAGGTATCTAAGATTCTTCAACCGAAGTACAAAAATCTCCAACTTTTGTTAACAATTAGCTGAAAGAGAACACATTTAGAAACAAGTGAACCTTCACTATTTCTATATTTTCTCATAATTTAAGTGTAAAGTGGGATGGCAAAGACTGTGCTGGCAAACAGTTTTACATTTGATCTCCACAGTCAGGAGCAGTTTTTACTCTACAATATTCAGTAGTATCCCTGGCCTCCAAGCACCAGATGCCAGCTGGAAACCCTTCCCCCAAGTGGTACACCCAAACCTTCCATAGATGCTGTTCAATGACCTGTCCCCACCTCCCAGAGTGGAGGTGAACACTGCCTTCAGTCATAAATCAGTGACTCACACAATAAAAATGTTCCTGAGAAACAGATAATCTTTAATTTCTGTAAACTAGGTTCATAAAAAATACCTTATTAAGAACAAACCACTATAGGGAAGGTTTATTTTTTAAACAAACTATTATGGAATTTGTTCATGGATAGCATGTGTATGTACATGAATGTTCTATGTTTTTAAATTTAAGCATCTTGTAATACATAAATCTATGCAGTACTAGAGTTTAAAACTGACATCTCCTGGTTGTTTAAGTTTTCAGTTTAAAGATAAGACCAAAATAAAAAACCTGAAAGAATCAAAGAATATAGCTGTAATTCTAAAGTAGCATCAACAAAGCAAGTGTTATTCTTATGAGCATTAATGGACTATACTGAAACAAAGTAAAATCTAAGTCTTGTTCTGTCCTTACTTTGAAATGTTGCCACTGAAATCAATTACAGATGTTTATTCTGAAAGATGCTACTATAAAGGTTGCAGGCTCAAAACTACTCAAAATTAAATTTATGGAATAACTAGAAAATAGGCTGATTTAGAACCTGTGCATAGTTTATAGTATTAATTAGTAACATTTTTTTAAAGACCCAGAAAGCTGGTGCTTTCATATAAATAAGTTTTAAAACCAACTCCCTTGAGTGTTTTCAATTATCACATAAAACAATGACCCAAATAATTTCAAATGATCACAGATATTTAGGCAACAATTCTCATGTGTTAGTACTTTTAATGTTGTGTACATCAAATTATAGGAAAAAGACAACTATAAACAAGACAAAGTTCCTCTACTTCCATGAACAGCACACGGCATTACAGCAAGCCAAGTTTATGTTCAACCATCAAATGTGGTTCTCCCATTAGTTCACTTTGTGATGGGTCTGAAAAGAAACAAATATAAACATGTTAAAGGTTCTCAAAAAAAGATAAATTCTCTGATTCTACTCACATGAAAATTTAAATTAGGCAAAGCAAATATAAAGTGACAGAAAATATACCACTGGCTGCCTGGGGCCAAGGGTCGGGGAGCTGACTGCAAATGGACCAAGGAAACTTTTGGGGAATGATGAAAACATTTTATATCTTGATTGAGGAGACAGTTTCACAGCTGCACACATTTATTAAAATTCAGACTGGACACTGTAAAATGGATGCATTCCATTGTATGTCAACTATACCTCAATTCAGTTGATTTAAAAAGAAAATACAGATTGAAAAAGTTCTCATGTTTCAAAGTTCTTAAATTTTCCAGTGGCTTCCAAGTTGAGTCTAGGAACAATCGCTAAGAGATTAAGCAATCCTTAATGTAATTTACAATTTCATCTCTATCATTCTGTGCTATGTTGCAAACACATATATACACAAACCAGAATCCTAGAGTAAAAAAACCTTAGGAATCTTCTCTCTTGTCTGTATTGATGAGTCAGACAAAAGTCTTACTTTAACTGTGATAATGCACCTAAGAATTAAGCAATCCTTAATGTAATTTACAATTTCATCTCTATCATTCTGTGCTATGTTGCAAACACATATATACACAAACCAGAATCCTAGAGTAAAAAAACCTTAGGAATCTTCTCTCTTGTCTGTATTGATGAGTCAGACAAAAGTCTTACTTTAACTGTGATAATGCACCTAAGAATTCTAAAAATGAATACCAACAGTAAGTTTCCTACAAACAAAGCGTTTTCTTTTTTGCCCTCTACTCCTCCAAAGAGAATAGATACCCAATGAATTAAACTGTAAAATCAGTTTATTAAAATAAATAATCATTAAAATAATGATTATCAAGAGTAACAAATCGATTTGGATATTTCCTCACTGTACCTCCTGAGACTGGAGATAACTGTGTCATTATCAGTTCAGGAATCCTGATTCTGGCCACCTGTCATACAACACAGTAGCCTCAACAACAGCTGATAACTGTTATAATTATTAATAAATGGTTACATATACAAGAGTTTGCTACAATTATTAACAGAGTAGAGGACTATGTATACAACGGGCATCCGAAACCCAGTAAGTATGTTTATACAGGAATACAAAGAACACAGGTGTCTGCTAGAGCAGTGCTTCATGTTAATGAGAGAAAAGTTTGCATCCCTCAACACAGGTACTGATGCAGCATACCTCCTGTAAGATACACACAGTACAAAACCAACTGTGTTAAAAGATAAATACTAAGCAATGCCAAATATCTTCTGATTTTATGTGAAAAGTCTGGAAGGACACCCACTAACTAAAAGCAGCAGCCAAATAGGGAGGGAAGGAGGGAGATGGGTTGGGGGTAATTAATCATGGCAGATGTGAGTCTTGGCTATAATGTTCTCAATTTTTAAACAAAGAATATCCTCATTTATATAATGCCTACTTTCCTTGAAACTCTGCTTCTCTAAGCCTTTTGATTTAATAAAACACTTGCCCGAGAAGACTGCACACCCTATGCTGGTGAGCAAGGCCCCAGCCTGTGGAGGGTCCTCCCAGGCGGGAAGAGACACCTTGGTCAGTCTTCATTTCCTCATCTTCAAGTGACAGGGAGGGAGTAAACGGAAGGCCACATTCAGCATTAGGAAAAAGTCTCATAATCTCTTCCCTTCCTTATAATATAGCATGCAGATTCTCGTGGGCCAAGCACTTGCCTGATGAGCAAGCAAGCAAAACCTTCATCACCTCCAACACTTAAAAAAAATGTACGGACTTTCATCCTAGCTTAACAGTCTTCATATTGCACTTAGATTAACACAGTACTCCCTCACATAGACTTTAAAATTCCTTCTGTATCAAAGGTGATGAGGAGAATGTGGTGAGACAGAGCTTTCCTCACTCAGCACGAACCAGGCACCTTAAGAGGCCCTGGGGACACAAGAGTGAACAAGACAAAGTCCCCAGCTCTCCTGGGGCCTGTATTTAAGTTGGGAAAACAAATAAGAAACAAGAAAACACCAGGAAAGTGATATGCAAAGAGTTAAAGTAAGGTGACAGGGTGACTGGGGGCACGTTAGACTGCGCAGTCAAGGAAGGCCTCTGTGAAGGGGTGGCATTTAAACTGGGACTTGAGAAGTGAGGGGAAAGTATTCTAAGCAGAAGAAACAGCTAAGACAAGGCCTAGCTGTTCACCTTACTTGTTTTAAATGAGGTCTAAATGTAAAAGCTTAGACATCCGAGGTTTCCTGCACCCAAAAAGTGCCCTCAGAAGAGGCTCATGAGACTTCTGCTGTGTCCACAGCACTTCCTTACCAAACATCGGCAGCCAAGCAAAACTAGTATAATTTAATCCTGCTTTGTTTTTCTGTTTCTCCCGAACTGCTGGAGAATGAGCACAGGTGATACTGGACAGAACTGTATTTGCTCTCTTTCCTCAGAATCAGAAAAAAAACAGGATGCTACATGATCTTAATTAAAAGTCAATGACCTCAAACATCATACAATCATCCAGAGAAACTTGTTAAAATTTTTTTCTTCATTAGTATTCGCCACCTACAGCAACACATCTAGGAAGACAAGGAGGGTATTTTTGAAGAAAACTTTTATTTTTTTCTAGATGTTTTTAAAGCTAGTCATATCCCACAAATGTTCTGAATACTGCAACAACAATCCTTGTTTAAGCTGCCCTAAGAATATCATACTGTAGTCACACATCAGACTTTATCCTCAGGACATGAAATCTATGACTGTCAATGGTTGACTGAAATGACTATAATCTCAGAACTCCATAGACATCTTTCACTTTTAAAACCAGTTAAAGAACAGTTATTATCATTAAATTTTATCTTATTTCAGTGAATAAACACAAGTGAATTTAATCAACTACAAGCTACATGATGACAAAGACACTGTAGGTTTCATTTGCTGCTGTTGCCTTGTATATTACTGGGGCTCCAGAAAAAGGTGTGGAATGACACTTACCATTAAGAATATCTTCAAATCCAATAGTCTCATCGTTACCCCTCAAAATATCCAGTGAAAGGTTTGAGCTTGGAAGAAATGGAAGACGCTGAACCTTCAGGAAAAGTATAAAAGAGCAAACTTAGAAATAGTAAAGAGGAAAAACATATATGATCACATTTCAGTGTCTTCATAATTTGCAAAATTCACAAACTAAATAAAATATCAATTTAATGGGGGGGAGGAATGATAAGTCCATATTTTAGACCCAAATTTTTAATTCTTCATAACCTTATTCAAAATATAGACACTGAAATTGAAAGCTTTTACTAATACCTAATAATCCCATCAGGTCCACACATTATTTGGGGGCTTTGCATCTGTCCAGGAAAACCAAAGCATACCATGTGATGAAACACAAAATTCTCGAGTCTAACATCATGTTTTGTTTCTAAAAAACATGGGACAATCAAATTCCTGAAGAAATTCTGAAGAAATGCACTGAGAGCATTTCTTTACTTAATAAACTGATCATTCATTTTGTATGTTGTTCTGTAATGCTCACAGCACAAATACAAGTCATGACCCTTTAAAACCGTAGTGATAACTAGAGATGAAGATCAAAGTCATCTGTGGGCTTTTAAAAACTACAAAGCCATTCTGAACTAGTGCTATCTACATTTTCCAATTATTAAATACATATACTGCAGACTGGGGTTCCCTTGTGGCTCAGCTGGTAAAGAATCTGCCTGAAATGCAGGAGACCTGGGTATGATCCCTGGGTTGGGAAGATCCCCTGGAGAAGGGAAAGGCTACCCACTCCAATATTCTGTCCTGGAGAATTCCATGGTCTGTACAGTCCATGGGGTCACAAAGAGTCGGACACAACTGAGCGACTTTTACTTATACTGCAGACCAGTACCTAAGTACAGTGCAGAAAGCATGGGCTAGAGAGTCAGAGGTTCAAACTCTGGGTTCAAACACTGCTTTCAGTACTCACCAATCCTACGGCCTTGCCTAGTTACCTGACCTGTCTTACCCTGGTTCAGTACCTGTGACATAGGCCAGTAGCACCTTTCCCTCACACCTGCAGCACAGTCTGCTATAAAGTATGGCAGTCACTGGCACATACTCAACAAACTTTAAATGCAGCCAAACCAAATTTTCCATTTTTCTCTTCTTTGTTAGCTATCCAGCAGTCACTGGAATCAATGCAGTGTGATATGACAGAATCTAGAGCATAGATGGGGGACAGTTCTTAAACACCTGGAAGGACATTTTCTTCCTGAGCAACATGTGTACTCAGCGATATACAACCTGCCCACTAGACACCTCCACTTGGATATTCCTAGAGGCACCATAAATTCAAAGTAACTCCCCAAAAGGAGAGAAATATAAAAGTGGATGCCTGTAAATATCCAGACACTGAGCCTCTAATCGAAGGTGTTTCCCATTTCAAAGCTGTTTTTCTCTATGAAGTAGGAATGGAGGTCATATCCTAATAGGGGGAAAGTAGGAGAGGCTGCAGGGAAGAAGAGAAGGTGAGGTTGTACAGCTTTTACCAGATAGAAGACTCCTCCCAAACAATTCAGCACACAGATGGGATGCATGCAAACTGACAGCCAGAAACCCACCTGCTGCACTGCCTTGAATTCCATCTGCAGTTTTAGTGGTGCAAAAAGACCCTGGATGTTTCTCAGTGTGGAGAAGTTCATCTTATCTTGGTTGAGCTGGTACTACGAAGACAACACATAATTTTAAATGTGACATTCTGCTTTCAAAACAGTGAGCACTGACGTCCATGTGACACAAACATGCACAGAACCCTTTAGGTGGTCTTCAGGACATCTGTACATGTCCTACCCGCTTTGGGAGTGACTTTCTCCACCTGTCTATCTGACTAATACAGGTCTAAAACTGTTCAAGTGTCCCCTCTTCTAGAAACCCTTCCATAGGTTGGCCGCTCCATCCGAGGTCCTCTACAGCGCTTTAGCCAGTCCCAACCCACTGCTTATCTTCCCATTAAGTTTTCAGCCCCTAAAGGATGGGGATGATGTCATACCCATCTGTGTACGTCCTGTGCCTAGCAGTAACTTGGAGATGAAGGGCTTGCAAAAAAGATCCAAGGCTGGAGGGATGGGCTTGGAGATCAACAGCAAAAATGGCAGGGGGAAAATATAAAAGAAAAAAAAAAAGATCACCAAGTGAGGAAATATTATGACAGGAATGGAGAGGTGGACCAACCTCTAGAAATGTCCATAAAAAAGACAAAGAAAAAGGTGTAGAAAGGAAGCTTTAGTGAACCAAAGCCTATTCCATAAGGATATTGAAAACAAGGTTTCATGTTCTTCATACTCAAATGCTTAATGCCAGAATTGTCTTAATCATGTATTACTAACAGCATTTTTCTCCTAGAGGGTAAAAATAAAAACACAGGTAACATACTTACATTTTTCTCTGATAATTCAAGAGGATGACTGGGCAGAAGTTCATTTTTCACACACGAGAAACTGAAAATAAACATTTAAGAGGGAGGTTACAGATCACTCAATACCTAGAGCTCAAAATTATCTATCAGCGCTGTCATACAATGAAATGGCACAGGGAGCTTGAGGGGGATGAACAAACTATTCTGTATGCTGACTGTGGTGGTAACTGTGGGAATTAAAACATATATAACTCACAGAACTACACTAAGAGGGAAAAAATCAGGTATTCTATATATTGTTGTATATCTATTATAGATCCTGGAGGTCAATAATTCAATAAACTGGAGAGAACCCTCCAAAAAATGGTGCTAAGTGATGCTCTATATCTGGAAGAAACTTAATAGTGTGTGTACTACTATTACTCTGATGATGTGATTCTTTTATTACATAAAATATCTACATCTCTCCTGTTCACAGCTAATGCATATTCAATAGTTAATATATTTTTGATAAACACACACTGAAAAACGTGTTTGAGAATAACCAACTACCTACTATATGCAAGTACTATATTAGGTGATACATAGCTAGAACCCAGGCCACGGGTCTCTATCCCTCTCTCTATATAAACATCACCATCTTATTCTCCAAGCCAGGATTTAAGAGCTGAAAGAAACCTCAGAAATCCTGTAACATCAGTATTTATCGAATACTGTCTTTGTACAAAGCATTACCCTTAAGTGGAATTTGAAAATGGTCCTGCTCATGGTAATCTTACAATCTGAGAAGAAAAAGGATCATTTCATGTATGTTTAGCAGGGGTGGGGGAAACGGACCAAAACCCAAAACCAAATCATCAGGACTCAGTTACTGGTTAGCTTATGAAAATGATTATGCTATAAATCAAATTATATCTCCAATTCCGAAGGCAATATACTGCATCTTTCACTACAAAATGGAAATACAATGAGGCATTATGTCTGCTTCCAGAGACCAATATTAGAATGACATTCTATGACTAAATACCTTCTAAGTAAATATAAAATTCAAAACACAGTATGTACACAGTGGGGAAGATATTTGACTAAACAGAAAAAACCAACTGCCAAGAAAAAGGACCAGTACTAGAAAATGAGACCTAAACATACAAAAACATAAAGAAAATCAAGGAAAGGGGGTACAACTGTGCTATAACTAGAAATGAAAAACAAGAGCAGCTAAGACTTACTTAATGCTTACTAATGTCACATATTGGTCTAAGTATTTTCCAGGGATTAGCTCGTTTATTCTTCAAAATAAGACAGATGCTATTACTAGCCTTGTTTCACAGGTGAGGACACTAAGACACAGAACAGTTAGGTAATCTGCCCACGGGCACAGATCTAGTAAATAGCAGAGTCATAACCAAAACCCAGAGCCCATGCTCTTTACTGCTCTTTAGTATCTCCCAAAGAAAAGTGAATTACTCCCAATTTATCTTAGTTAATAAGATGAAGAACAAAGGGCTCTCCAAGTTATCAGGAGCAAAAAGAAGAATCCTACCAAACTGTGCTGCCAGGTAATCTCACCTAGGAGGACATACTTTCTTGGGAACCTGGTACCCTGGTAAGATGCTTCTTCCACTACAGAAACATCCAAGCTTCCTCTCCTCCCTCCCTCTAAAGTATACTACTTGCTATCTTATCAATTAAATACATATTTATGGCTTGTCAAAATATTTAAAGAATATTGTGAAAAATAATTCACATATTATAACAAAGTCACAACTCCCCTACATACCCTTTTCGAAGAAGATCATGACTTTCAAAAGGTCCACTTGCTGACAGCTCAGTAACTGGAATACTGTCCTTTAGCTGAGATCCAAGTCCTCTGGCATTCTACAACACAAATAAAAAACACTATTATATATTAAAAAAAAGTTAACTCACACTGAACCTCTATGTAAAAATACCGTTTAAGCATCAGAGAAAAGATAAGGTCTCTGCCCTCTAAGAGACTACAGTCTAGGCCATTACTATGAGCCTCAGCATCACGTAGAAGGATGCACAAGGTTCAGTGAATAATCTGGAATTGGGGGCAGGAAGGAGTCCTGGTAGCTGAGTGCTCTCAGACTGAAAGGCATTCCAGGAAAAAAAGAACATGGGTAAAGGTATAAAAATATAAATGAACAAGCCACAAGTAGTTTCAGATGATTGGCCAACTATATGTCTGAGTAGGGCAGAAAGAAAGGCTGGCAAAAAGAAAAAATGAAAAGGCTTAAATATGCAAAGAAATTCAGATTTTGTTCTGAAATTGAGGACCTGATCATGATCAGATTTACTGGGAACATCCCTCCTTTACGTCGGAATGATGAGCACAGAGTGAAAAAAGTTGAGGACAGAATCCTGGGGGATACCATTCCTTAAGGACAAAGAACAAGGAAAATGGAATTAAGAATGGACAGAAGAGCTAAAAGAGAGTGGTCACAGAAGCTAAGGAAAAAAGGGAATCTCAGAAAGTGTTTGGTTCCTTTAAGAGGGTGCTACCTGTGAAAAATAAACACACTTAATCAGGCTGGCCTAAATAAAAAGAAACAAAAAGCTAAGAGTCACAGCATATTTGGTATTTGTGTATTGTCACCCTACTCATTTACAATGTAATTTAATCACCAAATATTTATATCTACTATGTGGCAGGTACTCTACTAGATGCTGAAAATACATATCTGGCGTCTAGGGCTTAGTCTAATGAAGAGAGAATAAACATGCATAATAAAAACGTAACAAACATTACAACAGGTAAAACACAAGATGCTGAGTTTAAACCATCTGGTGCTAAATACAACATCCTTGCAATCCTGAAGAAAAATGTCAAAAAGCTACAAGCAGTTTGGTATTTAGTCTATACTCTTCTAGGAGAAACTATTCTGGGAAATTAGCTTTTTAAATTGCTGTTTTACTTCGATTCATGCATTTCACTAGGGTCAGGTGCTGTAGTCTGTCCAGGGTTTCTCCAATCTACTACCCGAGTCCAGGCTCTCACACCTGGATAACTTTAAGAGCACTCTACTGGGTCTTGCTGCCTGCAGACTCTTCCATTTTCCAGTTCTACACAGCAAAGTCTGCCTGACATGCAATCTCCTCCAACAAAGCTGGGAGAAACCAAAAAACAAACAAAAAAATCTTTCACTGCTTGGTCAATGCCTTGTCTGAAAAACACTGTCCAAGGCCCAAAGCCTGGAACTCAAGAACCTGCACAACAGGATTCAACTCCCCTGAACAGAAGTCACGGTTAATTAAGAAAAGAAGTTGGAATCTAGTGTCTGTCACTAACCTAACAGGTGCCTGTGATGAAGGCACAGAACCTCTCCGGCCCTGCCTACTCATCCTTCCAGTTATCTGAACTCCTTACAGGACTAGAGTTGTACAACTGTACCTTCCCAAACATTATTTCCTACATGCAGTTTTCCTCCTCCCAGACTGCTTTATTGTAGAGTGACACAAGAAAAGTCTCTTCTAGGCACAAAGAAAAGGGGGATTGTGATCTCTGGGTTCTACCCGTTATCACTTTGCCAATTCCCTTCTGTAAAATATCAGGATCAGTACATGATGTTTCTAAGAAAGTAGCAGAGGGGAGCAAGTCCATGAAAAGTTAACACTAGTTCTTTGTTTAGCTGTGCCAGCTCTTAGTTGCAGCATGTGGGATCTTTACTTGCACCATGCAAACTCTTAGTTGCAGCATATGGGATCTATCTAGTTCCCTAGCCAGGGATGGAAGAAGCCCCGCCCCCGACATGGGTAACACCAAGAGTCTTAGCCACTGGCCCACCAGGGAAGTCCCTCTGAGGGTTTAGAAAACCTCTTTTCTATGTTCAGCAGTATTCGCCAACAGAAGTAAGTGTTAGTCGCTCAGTCATGCCCAACTCTTCAAAACCCCCTGGACTGCAGTCCACCAGGCTCCTGTGTCCATTTGATTTTCTAGGCAAGGATACTGGAGTGGGTTGCTATTCCCTTCTCCAGGGGATCTTCCCGACCCAGGGATCGAACTCGGATCTCCTGCACTGCAGGCAGATTCTCTACCTACTGAGCTACAAGAGAAGCCCATTCACCAACAGAAGCTTTCTAGATTTGGACTGGTATTAAGAGTCACAGGGCAATGACGATTCAGGACATCTCCCCCAAATATCAAACTTTTCTAAGAGGAAAAAAAGAGAAGGGGAGGGGGAGGAGGAGGACTCCACCAACAACGCTAACACATGGGGAGTAACAAGTATCTAATTTTACCCCCTCCAACGCCTGGCATGCTACAAACTCCCCAAAATGTTGGCAAAGTAAAAGAAGAGTGATGGAAAGCCGACCCATAGTTGTGGGTTTGTTTATCCAGGCGGTTCCGAGGGTCGGGGGGCGGGTGAGGAGTTTGGGGGACACGACTCCCAAGGGTTCGCCCCTCGGAGGAGGGCTAACGGGCGGTGCCCACACCCCAAGACCGCCGCAACTTTCGGGTTTGCCCTTGCCAGCTCGGCGCCGACTCCAGGAAGGGACCGAGGTCGGGGTCGGCTGGGGGACCTGGGCGGTGGGAAGAGAGAAGAGGAGGTGAAGAGAGGAGGAAGCCGGGGCTAGGCTCCCGGCACCAGCGCCGGAGCCCGGCCCAAACGGCCATGGGTACCCCTGAACCCCGTGACTCGACAGATCATGGCGGGAGAGACCGGCCTTCTACTCCCGCCGCCGCCGGTGCGACTGGCAGGGAGGCGGCGGGCTGCTCCTGCGGCCATCGACCCGAGCCCGCCGGCCACTCGGGTCGCCCGGGGTGGGGGTGGGGGGGTCTCACTCACCATCTTCGACTCGCTCAGCGTACAGAAGCTCTCCCCTTGACGGTCAGCCGGCCCCACCGCTCACTTCCGTTTCCGGGCTTGCCCCCCCCCAACATCCGCCGGAAGTGCGTCCGTCCGGGCGAAGGAAGGAAGGAGGGCGCGGGTCGCCGAGAGGGAGCCGCGCGGGGCCGGGGCTCCCACGCTTGAGGTCCCGAGGGACCTGGGGCCAAGGGCGCTGTGAGGGATGTGGGCTGGCGGAGGGCGGGAAGGGGGGCCTCGGGCCTTTGCTCTCTTCGTCAGCAACCCCGACCGCCGGGGGAGGGGCAATGTACTTTGCCAGGTGCGTCGCCCCGTGAGTATAAAATTTCTGAGGTAAAGGTGACATTTTTTTTCATAAGGATGAGCAAGGCCCAGGTGGGGTGAGTGGCTAGCCTGCAGCAAACGTGGAACCCAAGGGTTTTCCCAGTTTCTTTTGCTTTTTTTATATTTAAATGACGTATCGACGGCGTCCTGTGTTTAGAACTTTGGGCCGAGGTTAAAAATAGAGAAATGAACCGGCTGCTGTGGGTCCTGCGCTATAGCAGTAGAGGAGCTCTTGGCGGTCGCCAGGGTGACAGCTAAGTTAAGTATAATTGAGGGCTCTTATTGGGGCTTCCCTGGTAGCGCAGCTTTTAAAAATTCGCCTGCAATGCAGGAGACCCGGGTTCGATTTCTGGGTCGGGAAGATCCGATGGAGAAGAGATAGGCTACCCACTCCAGGGTTCTTGGGCTTCCCTTGTGGCTCATTTGGTAAAGAATCCGCCTGCAGTGCAGAACACCTGGGTTGGATCCCTGGGTTGGGAAGATCCCCTGAGGGAGGGCATGGTAACTCACTCAAGTATCCTGGCCTGGAGAATTCCATGAACAGAGGAGCCTGGCAGGCTACAGTCCATGTGGTCGCAAAGAGTGGGACAGGACTGAGCTGCTTTCACTTCACGAGGACTCTTATTATATAATGACAATTCAGAGTGCTGAAAGTGTAGGTGAAGTGGGTACTGCAATTACCTCAGTTGTACAGGTGCTGAAAACAAGATAAAAGAGTTTAAATAGATATACCGGAAGACACCTAATCCATTATGGTTACGGTCACACACTATAGTGTGTTGCCTTCCGAATATGATGCGGGAAAAACAGACTTAGGTTTTGTCACCATGTAGTGGAAATAACTTAAGGAATCCTTGGGCTGACAGCCAAGATGTGAGAGTGAATTAGGTAGGGGAGAATTGCTGGCAGATTTGGTGCAAAAACTCAAGTGGGAGAGGAAGCCTGTGTGGCTAGTTCAGAGTAAGGTAGTGAGTAGTGTGAGATGAGGGGCTTCCCAAGTGGCTCAGTGGTAAAGAATCCACCTGCAACACAGGAGACTTGGGTTTGATCCCTCGGTCTGGAAGATCCCCTGGAGGAGGAAGTGGAAACCCACTCCAGTATTCTTGCTTGGAGAACCCCATGGACAGAGGAGCCTGGTGGGCTACAGTCCATGGGATTGCAAAGAGTCAGACACGACTTAGCTGACTGGACATGTGTGAGATGAGTCTTAAATGGAGGCAGATTTATTATGGAGGCCCTGGTGTGCCAGATTAAAAATGAAGCTTTATCTTTAAAAAGGCATGGAAGGATTTTAAGGAGGGAGGTGATGAGGTTGTATGTGTTATGCATATCCACTGTTGTGATCCCACAACTTGAATGGCTGTGATAATCCAGATTTCGAGAATTGTGCATTGCTGCTGTTATGTGTTTCTTCTGGCTCTTCAAAATGTCCATCTTTATCCAGAGATTGGAGCTTGAGTGTTTGAGTGTTTCATTTGCATCTTTTTCCTTTCACTCAGTTCTAAGGATAAAATTGAAAACTACATCTCTTTATTTTTTTAATTTAATTTTTATTTTGTATTGGTTATAGTTGGTTTATACTGTTGTGTTTCAAGTGTACAGTAAAGTGGTTCAGTTGTACTTATACCCATTCTAAAACTGAATCTTAAAAAAAAATTTTTTTTAATGTTTGTTGATTGCTCATGATTTAGTCATGAAATATTCATTGAGCATTAACTTGGTTCTAGATTCTGGGGCTGAATAGGAGAAAAAGCCATTTCCCTGTACTTGAACTACTTTTGTTTTCTCAGGGCCATAGACATGTAAACATATTAAAATGAAATGTGTAAATGCTTAATAGAGAAAGGAGCTCCATCAGGGAATGGTTGGGAACAAGGAAAGAGGGGACTTGAGGAGGAAACGTGGAAAGACAGGGATTTGCAAGCAGTCACGTTCGAAGACTGTGTCCATGTGGCTGGAGTCCTGGGTGAGTAGGTGGAGCAAGATGAGATGAGACTGGAGGGACTGACTGGAACTGAAATGAAGAACCCCTGTACAAAGTGCTGAGGTCTGGGATGTCTTGTAGGAAAGAGGAGATAATGCTGGTCTTGTCATAAACACTTGACATTTAAAAAAGAATTACTCTGGTGGCAACATAAGGGATTTATGGAATCAGGAGGAACCAGAACACCATTTAGAGCATTGCAGTAGTCCAAGACAGAGATGATAAAGATATCAATGAAGGTGGCACAACAGAAAGACTTTTGAGAAGCAGCAGTGAAAGATGATGAACTCAAGAAACAGAAGACTTTACAGACAACCAGAGGAGTGGGAGCCTGCCATGGAGATGAAAAAGAAATGGTCAGAGAGGCAGAAGGAAAATCAAATTGCTGTCTTAGAATCTGAAGGGGAAGAAAGTGCTGAGAGGTTGAAAGTGGTTCAAAATAGAGGTTAGAATGTGGTTTTCAAATGGCTTTAAAAAGTCATGAAGTCTTGAAAATAGGCCTTCGATGACCAATGTGAAGGCAGGCAAGGAGAAAATCACCTTATTTTGAGCAGTGAACATACCCATATTTATATCCTTTTTAAAAAGTTTGTTACAGCATCAACTAATACAAGACAGTGTTGGTTATGCTAAAGTAATTTAAACAGATACATTAGATTTGATTCTAGAATGGTTTGATATGGTTGCTTAAGCTTTGTGTACATTATAGGGTTTGGAGGCTACAGTAATAATAGTTAACATCTGTTATGTGTCAGGCCCTATTCTTAGTTCTTGACATGCCCTTCAGTTCATCCTCAATTACTCTATGAAGTAGATGGTACTGTATCCACTTTTTATATAAGAAGTCTTGTTATATGCTCTGTATGAGAAAAAGTATTTCCTTTTACTTTATTTTTTGTTGTCTTCCTTAACTTTTAGCCTCTCTGGCAGAAATATTTGTTGAATGTGTGTTATTGAACATAGAAAAAAACTCTGATTTGGACTGCAGGCCAGTAATAAAACCTGGATGAAAAGCAGGTGAATGAGCACAGCCAGGCAAGAGCAGAGGTTGGTTATTAGGAGATGTGAAGCACATCGAGTTGAAAAATCCCCATGGCTTTGGCCAAATCCTCAAATCCGTCCAAAAGAAGAGGAAGGGTAGAGTCAAGTAGATGCGTGCATTTCAGAGAAGAGGAGTCAAGTTGATAGTTAATGATGGAGCAGTAGCTGTCCATACCAAGAAGCAGTGGTATTTTCTTGCTCTGTGTGAGTCAGGGAAAGTGGAAGAAAGAGCAGACACCACTGGACCAGCTTTTGAGGATAGTGGCATCATTTGTGATAAAGCTAGGTTTCAGCCAGCGCTAAGATGTGCAGATAACTTTCAACAAAGTAAAAGGTACCAGGAAGTCTTGGTTGCAGCGGACCAGGGAAGTTTGGTTGCATGTTCTCAGGGCCACAACAGCAGAGGAGTACCTGAGTAGAGATGTCAGTTTCTCTCCTTTCTGCCCTCATGCAGCCTATACACATTTTACCACAATCTCTAGCACTCAGACTGCTTCCCACAGACTCCTACAATCAGGGGCCATGTCTTATAAATTATTCTATCTGAAATAGAATAATTTGTAGAAATTGTAGAAAGCACCCACTAATGTTTATTAAATGAAAAGTGGAGGGGAGGAATGGATAAATAGATACTTGTGCCTAAGAGGTAAGACTGACTAATATGGCTGGGAAGTAGGCTGGAAGTAAGTTTGGAGAAGTTTCCAGAAGCACCCTTCTGTACCTGGAGCCCAACCTGAAAGCTCAGCACTATAAGCCAAGACCCTAAATCCTTTTCTGGTTCCAAGTACGCCCCTTCCCTCAGGACTGGACTCAACAAAAACTGCCATCCTACCACAGTCTCTACAATTCTGACATCAGCTGACATCAGGAGCCACTGTGTGTGTGTGTGTGTCTGTGTGTTATGCCCAGCTGACATCAGGAGCCACTGTGTGTGTGTGTGTGTGTGTGTGTGTGTGTGTGTGTGTTATGCCCAGCTGACATCAGGAGCCACAGTGTGTGTGTGTGTGTGTGTGTGTGTGTGTGTGTTATGCCCAGCTGACATCAGGAGCCACAGTGTGTGTGTGTGTATGTGTGTGTGTGATGCCCAGCCTTCTCATTGCTGCCAGCTGCAAATTCAGGAGCCACAGTGTGTGTGTGTGTGTGTGTGTGTGTGATGCCCATCTGACATCAGGAGCCACAGTGTGTGTGTGTGTGTGTGTGTGTGTGTGTGTGTGTGTGATGCCCAGCCTTCTCATTGCTGCCAGCTGCAAATTCAGGAGCCACAGTGTGTGTGTGTGTGTGTGTGTGTGTGTGTGATGCCCAGCCTTCTCATAGCTGCCAGCTGCAAATTCAGGAGCCACAGTGTGTGTGTGTGTGTGTGTGTGTGTGTGTGTGTGATGCCCAGCCTTCTCATAGCTGCCAGCTGCAAATTCAGGAGCCACAGTGCGTGTGTGTGTGTGTGTGTGTGTGTGTGTGTTATGCCCAGCCTTCTCATCGCTGCCAGCTGCAAATTCAGGAGCCACAGTGTGTGTGTGATGCCCAGCCTTCTCATTGCTGCCAGCTGCAAATTCAGGAGCCACAGTGTGTGTGTGTGTGTTATGCCCAGCCTTCTCATCGCTGCCAGCTGCAAATTCTGGCTGGGCTTGCTTAGCCTTTCTCCCCCCGCCCCCCCGCCCTAGCCTCTCTAGACACTTCTTTTGAGCTTTGAAATCAGAATGGGATTTGGAGAGGGGCTAGTGTAAGGCTTGGTGGCGTGGTGATGTTTTCCTTTAGCATTTAAGGTAGAAGAGTGAGCTCTTCATTGTCTGAGAGAGAAAGGAAGGAAAGCAATTCATGGAAAAAGTTAATAAAACATATTCTCTTCAAGGTAGGTAAAATTTCAGTTCAGTTGCTCAGTTGTGTCTGACTCTTGGAGACCCCATGGACCGCAGCACACCAGGCCTCCCTGTCCATCACCAGCTCCTGAAGTTTACTCAAACTCGTGTCCATTGAGTCGATGATGCCATCTAACCATCTCATCCTCTGTCATCCCCATCCCCTCCTGCCCTCAATCTTTCCCAGCATCAGGGTTTTTTCAAATGAGTCAGCTCTTCACATCATGTGGCCAAAGTATTGGAGTCAGCTTCAGCATCAGTCCTACCAATGAACACCCAGGACTGATCTCCTTTAGGATGGACTGGTTGGATCTCCTTGCTGTCCAAGGCTACTTTTAGAGTGTCCTCTGCTTATGAAAAGCTGGGTTTTGATAATACTAGAGTGGACTCTGGAATCCAGGTGTTTTCTTTTACCTCTGCACTGCATCAGGCACAACTGAGGTTAGCATTCTACTTTCCTTGCTTTTACAGCCCTGTCTCAGGTATGTGTGGTTTGTTTTTTTGGGGGGGCTGTGTAGTGAGGCATGTGGGATCTTAGCTCCCTAACCAGGGATCAAACCTGTGCCCTCTGCATTAGAGACACAAAGTCCCAACCACTGGACCACCAAGGAAGTTCCCCTTTACTTTTTGAATTTTTACCTTGGGTGTATATGTGCTCAGTTACTCAGTCATGTCTGACTCTGCGACCCCATGGACTATAGCCCACCAGCCTCCTCTGTCCATGCAGTTTGCCAGGCAAGAATACTGGAGTGGGTTGCCATGCCCTCCTCCAGCGGATCTTCTGAGCCAGGAATCGAACCCGTGTCTCCTGCATTGCAGGCAGATTCTTTACCTCTGAGCCATCTGGGAAGCCTCGGGTCTGTATTTTTAGGAAATGGTTTATATTTTCAGCATGGAGAGTCTATTCATTTGCCTGTGGAGCGTACAGCTGGTAGGTTATATGCAACGAATTTAAATTTTATACCTGTTTCTTTTACCCTTCATTTGCCAGTCTACATGTAGGAGCATAGAATCGTTTTAATAGTAACTAAAAATTTTAATTCAGAAGATATATCTGCCAACAAACATTGTGCAGTGCTGTACAAAGCCTGATATATTATGCCCGTATGCCTAATGCTTCTGTTTAGATGCTGTTTTTGGGTAGTGGTGTCAGTGTTCCCCTGCACTGTCATGAATAACTGAGAGGGGAAGTTTTAATATTTTTGAAAATTGGAAAATTTATCCCCTGAGGACAAAAATTTGAGAGAAAATTTGCATATATTCAAAGCACACTAGTAGATTATCTCAGAAGCAGTTTATATTAATCTTATTTGGAATCTAAAAGCTGATTTAGAATCTAAAAGCTGAAAAAGACAGCCTAAGTCACTCTGATTGTATGATTGGTTTGAGTCTCTTTCCTTCTAGAAGCAGTGCATGCTCACTGTAGAAAATTAGAAAACAATATAAAGCGAAAAAAAGAGAATGAAGAACAGAGTTAACCACTGTGAACACATTGGCTCTGAGACATTCTCTTATAAGACAGAATATGTTTATCGTTTTAAAGAAAATAGAGTGACTCCATTTTCTACGTGAGCTGGGAAGTTTCCTCTTGGCTTTTTTCATGACCATGTTATTATTTAATAAAATATGTCATTCTGAAGCCTTAGAAAACACCCTTCCTTTACTTCTTCAAGAATGGGGAATTACACGTAGGCTCTTTACTCAATATTTTTCATTCTGTCAGTGTGGTTGGATGCCAAGTGGCTGTTCTGAGTAATTTTTGAAGGTACGTTTTTTTGGTACTTTGCCAGGGAAATCATAACTCTTAAAATGCGCCATAGACCTAACCATACAATTGGATTTATGGATAGATATTATGTTCCATGTTTTGTTGTTTTCTCACTGTTTTAGTCTCTGGGATTGATGCCAAAGGCTATTCAACCTCACTCCATTTATTAGAGTGTACAACTAAGTTTACACAATAGAGTTTAGAGGGGAAAAAAAGACCTTGTTTGTTTATCGTTCTACTTAAGATGTCTTTATGTCAGTGAGAAAGGAAAGTATTATTTCTCAAATACCACAGTGAAATCTCCTGAGAAATAGGATATCATAGTTAACAAATAATTACCCATTGCTTGAGCCACAAGAACTCCTTGCCTTATTCCAGACCATCTTCTCTGCTGCTGTCAAAGATGTTTTGTGCCCTGAAATTCAAATCTGTGACTTCGCTCCTCAAAGCACTTCACTTGCTCCTCATTCCTGGCCTCCAGGATTAATTCCAGACTCTGTCCAATGGCAAAGAGGCCTGTGATCTGACTGCTAACCTCATTCTTAAATCCTTTACTTGAGTCATTTTAAATTACTTGGAATTCTCTGAAAAAGTCATTGCTTTCATGCCCTTGCACTTTTATCCTTACTCTGCCCTCTTTCTGGCATGCTTTGTTGCACCATCTCAGGTCAGTGTCGCCTCCTCTGTGAAGTCTTGCCTGACTTGCTCCACTGCCCCATTCTCCCTGCTTCAGGCAGAAGGGATCCTTTGTGCCCCGTAACATAGGCATACTTGTTTCGCTGCAGCTGTAGCACATTGTTGCACTTGTTTGCACATGTGCCTCTCATCTTTTTCAGCTTTTTCACCTGTAAATCTCATTCACCATCTTTTGGGAGCTTTCATCTTACTTTAGGAACACATTAAGCTTCATTTTTAAATTTTTTCTCTTAACTCTGTTTTTTTCACTTTATTAGTTCAGCACTTATTACGTTTTTTTAATATTTTGTGGGATGTCCTAGAATTTTAATGTACATAGTGTGTGTGTGTAATTTATTAAGGTGTGTGACTAATCAAATGTGTAATTTAATGTCTTCAGTTAGTCAGTGTTTTACCCTCTTGAACAAAGTACAGACCTTTGAATGCCTTATTCCTATTACCTCCTTCCTACTTATATGCCATTTTTTTTTCTACTAGCATTTTAATTCTGTATTATTTCCAAACCCTATAATTAAGGCGTCATTGTTATTTAACACAGTGATTTTATAGGTTTATCCGTGTATTCATCATTTTTTTCATTGTTTGGGATCTCTCACCTTCTTTCTGCTATGAGTTTTCTTCATCCTAAAGTATATCCTATAGAAGTTTCTCTGAGTGATAGTTAACACTCATTTTGTAGTCTGTCTGAAAATGTTTTTATTCCGCCATCATTCTTGAAAGATTGTTGGTTATAGAAAATTCGGTTGTCAGTTACTTTGTCTCTGCCTTTTGAAGGTACTATTCCAGTGCTTTCTAAAATCCATGTTGCTTTTGATAAGTGTACCCAAAGTCTGTTTTTCTTCTGTAAATAATCTATTTCTCCCTCTGACTGCTTTTAAGATTTTTTTTCTTTGTCTTTTGACCACAAAGTACCTTGATATGAATGTGCCTTTTTATTTATCATGCCTTGAATTTGTTGGGCATATTTCTGTGATAAAACAGGGGTTGTTGTTGTCATTGTTCAGTCACTAAGTCATGTCCAACTCTTAGCCTCATGGACTGCAGCATGCCGGGCTTCCCTGTCCTTGACCATCTCCTGGAGTTTGCTCAAACAGGGATGACACTCTTTTAAAAAAGTCACATTTACCCTGACCTGTTCTTCTCAGCCACCACCTCATTTGAACACAGTTATGAGATCTGGACCTGTGAGAATCATCTTGAAATCATG